TCCCCTTTTTTATTTCTTTCGCTGTCTTTCTTTCTTTCTCCCGGTCTTTTTGTTTGTTTCTGTTTATTTCTTTCTTTTCGTTCATTTTGATCCCTTCCCTCTTCAGTTAACCATCACCATTCCCTATTCTTTTCCAGAATATTAACCTGTATAAAGACACCCAACCCAAACATTTAGAAACGCTAAACAAACCATCCCAATCCCTTGAAATCCTATCCCTCAAGATTTAGAAGAATAAAAAAAAACTTCTCCAATAATCCTTTAAGCTGTTTTTTCCTTGACTCAAAATTTTTCCTCATGCTTGTATTCGACAAAATGTTTCTGGGACAAACTTCAGACCCCTTTCACCTCCGACCTCTTTCTCGTATCCATTAAACTAAGCGGCCATTTTATTTTTTTCTGCCCTCCTTGTCTTGAATGAGAGATAAAATTTATCGCTACCACTACTTTCGCTATTAGAATTTGCTCCATTTTAAAAATGAAATATTTGTTTATGTTTCTTTTTCTAATGGGTATATTGATTGTTCTTTTGTTGGGGGTGATTGTGCATTTATGAAATTATTCATGACTTCATGCATTTTGGGGAATGTTAGGCTTCTACTCCTCTTGTCGTTTGGTTCTGTCATTTCTATAATTTCTTGTTTTTTTTTCTTCCTTTTTTTTCTACTCTTTTTTTTTTTTTAAATTGGTTCTTCTTTGAGATAGCCAAAACAAAACAGTTTTTTCTGGTCACATCTCTTCTTATTATGACTCTTTCTTTATCCTGTTTTTTCCTCATTTTCTCTTTCTTTTAATGTTCCTTTTCAATCTTCTGTTTAACGAGGCTTACGGCCATATCGCATTCAAACACCGGTTTTCGTATGATCACCTTAGTTAAGCAACGTCGAAACCTGTCAGTATTTAGATGGATGACAGCTTGGGAATACCAGGTACTGTAAACTTGGATGTACGGTTGGTGTAGTGGATAATTGGAGAGCTGAGTGCCAATTCCAGTCGAGTTCGTTATATTCTGTTATACGTAAATACCTTTGGGAAAGGTAGGAAATCCACCTCTTCTCCCTCAGATATGGGTTAATTAGTAGGGCTTGTATCAATCAATGATAGTTATCTCCAAAATATTTTCTGGCTTTAAATAACCTGCAAAGGGTTGATAAACCGTAAAAAACTAATGAATCAATAATGTTCTTGTTATTTTTCTTCTTTTTCTCCACAAATTTTTCAAATACTTTTTCGTCATCAGATATTTAAAATTTAAATCAGCTATTTAAAATTTAAATATTAGAAATTTAAATTGTCTCTTTTTTTATGTTAATTATAATTGCATTTTGATTCCATTTTTCTTCGTCTTAACAAATTTCTTCTTTTCGTTCCTTTCTTTTTCTTACTGGCTTTATTTCTAACTAGCAGTAGAACCCGGCGTTGCCCGGGGATGTAACAGTAAGAGGTAGATCAAGTATCGACCATCATAAAGACTGAAAAATAAAATTGACAAAGATTATTGTTTAAGGTTGACGAACACGCATGTCTTAATTAGTTTTTTTTACGAATTGGTCAAACCCAAACTCAAACAAAAACATTGTTTTCAATCGTTATGAGTCTACCGATTGAATAGAATTTTATTATAAACAATTGTCTTGTAAATGGAATTTTTAAAGCATTCTGAATGTAAAAATAAAGAAAAAAGTGTGCAAGACAATAAGAAACACTACCTGCCAAAAAAAAGTGAAGTTTTGTTGAAAAATGTAGGAAATCCGATCCCATATATAAACGAACACACACATACACACACACACACACACACACACACACACACACAACCTGGGTTTTTATAATAAGTATAACTCGATAT